AACAGTAAAGCATCACTCTCCCCTATAAGTAGAAAACCACAGGAAGAACTTAAATACTATTTAATTGCTTTCTTCAGTTTTGTGATAAATAAATACAAAGGAAAAAGATCTTACATCATACTGATTTAAGTCCTTGTCTGGTAACTCTGCAAAGAAGTGATTAGCCTTCACAATGCATTTTGTCCCAACTGTTCCAAATCCAGGTCGTAAAGCAAAGTTCAAAGACTTGCTTGAAGTAGGAAAACCAACATTTCCATTGGAAGAACTACTTGTTGTTGTTACAGTACATGGTCTTGAACTTGAGCCTACAGTCGGTGCTTAAACAATTTCTATCACGTGCAATTAATTATCTCCAGCCTAATTGTAACCTTCAAGAACCTTTGTATTTCTCTCATTCAATGATCAAAGAGATTTCAATTAAATGAATGAGGGTTTGAAAAATTTGTAAAAAGTGTTCAAAATAAAAGTGAAAAAAAAGAAAGTATTTATAGAGAAAGTGAAAGAAACTCCAAAAGATAAATTTTAATAATAAAATTTGAATTAACATACAAAAATATTTGAAGGAATTTGACTTGAAAAAAGATTGAAAAATTCGCATGTGAACTCCTATTAGTCTAAGTGAGGGTTATTTGGGTCGTGTTGTAAATGCCCTAGCTAAACCTATTGACGGTCGAGGAGAAATTTCAGCTTCGGAATCTCGGTTAATTGAATCTCCCGCTCCCGGTATTATTTCCAGACGTTCCGTGTATGAGCCTCTTCAAACGGGACTTATTGCTATTGATTCTATGATCCCTATAGGGCGTGGCCAGCGAGAATTGATTATTGGGGACAGACAAACAGGTAAAACAGCAGTAGCTACAGATACGATTCTCAATCAACAAGGACAAAATGTAGTATGCGTTTATGTAGCTATTGGTCAAAAAGCATCTTCTGTGGCTCAAGTAGTAACTACTTTACAAGAAAGAGGAGCAATGGAATACACTATTATAGTGGCTGAAACAGCAAATTTCCCAGCTACATTACAATACCTCGCGCCTTATACAGGCGCAGCTCTGGCTGAATATTTTATGTACCGTGAACGTCACACTTTAATCATTTATGATGATCCCTCCAAACAAGCACAGGCTTATCGCCAAATGTATCTTCTATTACGAAGACCACCAGGTCGCGAAGCTTATCCCGGAGATGTTTTTTTATTTACATTCACGTCTTTTGGAAAGAGCCGCGAAATTAAGTTGTCAGTTAGGTGAAGGAAGTATGACTGCTTTACCAATAGTTGAGACTCAAGCCGGAGATGTTTCAGCTTATATTCCTACGGATGTCATTTCCATTACAGATGGTCAAATATTCTTATCTGCCGATTTATTCAATGCTGGGATCAGACCCGCAATTAATGTGGGTCTTTCCGTTTCCAGAGTTGGATCGGCGGCTCAAATAAAAGCCATGAAACAAGTCGCTGGTAAATTAAAATTGGAATTAGCACAATTCGCAGAATTAGAAGCTTTTGCACAATTCTCTACCGATCTTGAGAAAACTACGCAAAATCAATTGGCAAGAGGTCAACGATTGCGCGAGTTGCTTAAACAATCCCAATCATCTCCTATTACTGTGGAAGAACAGATAATAACTATTTATACTGGAACGAATAGTTATCTTGATTCATTAGAAATTCAACAGGTAAGGAAATTTCTCGTTAAGTTACGGGCTTATTTAAAAACGAATAAACCGAAATTCAACGAAATCATATCTTCGACCAAGACATTTACTGGGGAAGCAGAAGCCATTTTGAAGGAACCTATTCAGGAACAGATGGAACTCTTTTTACTTCAGGAACAAGTAGAAAAAAATTGATTTCAAATTTCATACCTTTCTAGATAATTAGTCTCTTTCCATATTTCAAAAAGAATAATAAAGAGAAGAAATTCACAATATAGTTTTCGAAATATACGAATTCAAGTAATATATATGCAATTGCAATAAATTCAATATGTAATAAATTTGCGTCCAATAGGATTCGAACCTATACCAAAGGTTTAGAAGACCTCTGTCCTATCCATTAGACAATGGACGCTTTTCTTTTTTTCTTTCCCTTTTCACGAAAATTTCGTGAAAAGGGAAAGAAAAAAAAGAATTCTATAAAATACTCCTCCATCTATCTGAATATCGAAATAATAATTATTCTAAATTCTAAATAGAATAAGACGAAATGAAATCATTCCAATTGAATATTCATAACTAAAACTAACTAAAGAAATTTACTAAATAAAAAATAGAATAGAATATATAGAGAAATAGAATATAAGCGGGTAGCGGGAATCGAACCCGCATCATTAGCTTGGAAGGCTAAGGGTTATAGTCGACGTTTATGAATGAACGTCTCTAATTCAAAACCGAACGTGAAACTTTTGTTTCATTCAGCTCCTTTACAAAATAATTTTAGAGATAGATGGAATACATGAAAAAAAAATGACCCATAACATCTATGTCAGCCTTTCGGTATGAATAGAATTCACGTTGCTTTTTAGATGATCCCTATAGAAAGAAAAGGAGTATTTGAACAATCTCTTTTTTTTCTAGTTACTTCGTTCTCTATTTCTATTTGATAGAATCTTTAGGAAAAGAATAAAATTTCCGTCGAGCTAAAAAAATATATTGATGTTTCTAGTAAACTAAAAAAATCGTTTAATAGCTATTTTGCTTCACTCTCTCCTATACAAAAAAAAAATGGGAAGATTTAGTTACGATTGGAAACTAATTTTAGATATCTTTCTCCCTGGATCCTTTACTTATATTCAAAAATTGGGATTCTTGTGCAAAAACTTATGTTTCATAATTTTAGAATAAATTCTAAATTGTAAACAAATTACGATAATGTATATTATTCCTCGAATTGCTCGTTGAGAGGTATAAAGGATGAAATCCCTAAAAGTAAGAAATAAAGTTTTTGATCGTGATATGAATCACGAAAGGGACCCCTTAACTATTAAGGGATCGTTAGAATGAATCGCACTTTTACCACTAAACTATACCCGCTACAATACCATTTTTGTATATAAAAAGATCTTTTGTCGAACAAGGGAATCAGTCATAAATAATTCTGAAATAGGTGCAGAATTTTATGATAAATAGAGTGTTTACATGTTTCGTAAAGGCCCCCTAATGAAATTTAGAAAAGGGGGCAAATCTCATTTTTGGATTTTGTTGAAGGTATTTTGACAGATAGATCTCGACAAAATTACTAAACTAAATTCATAACACAAAAATGCATTATGCAATGCAAGAATCCATAGTTCTATTTCGTTTTTTAGATACGTTACCTGATTCATTCGTATGAGATACGATCACAAAGTTATTTTTATTTTCATTTTTGTTTGATCATATTAAAATGTTTGAATTAATTAAAAGTTTGTTTCAAATCTGATACAGAAAAATAAATCGTTGTTATCCAGGATTCATGGGAAAAAAGAGCTGTGCCAGTACCTAGCTGGACTCTGGTTGGATAAAAAAACAAACTAAAAAAGAAAATCTAAAATTATAGATTTAGATTATCTATTTAGTGTAATGATTTATATCTATTTAGTATAATTATTTATTACTATCGTATTTAGTATATATATATATATATATATATATATATATATATATATATATATATATATATATATATATACAATTAATATATAACTCAATTTATATTTATGAGTTAATATAGAATTAGAATCAAATAGAAAAAAGATAGATAAAATATATCAAATGAAGATCCATATCAAATAAGATATATTGAAGCCTTTTTTCGAGCCCTGCAAGGTATCATAAGCATAATAATTCCATTCTTTGAATTGGGGAGAGATGGCTGAGTGGACTAAAGCGTCGGATTGCTAATCCGTTGTACGCATTTTTGTACCGAGGGTTCGAATCCCTCTCTTTCCGTTTATTGATGATTTGCCATTTTTTTCTTTTGAACTTATGGAATTTCTTTTTTTTTATTCCCTGTTTGTTTCATTTTTTACTAGTTCTTTTTGACTAGTTAAAGATCGAAAATAGATAGAAAAACAAAAAATAGTTCAAAATCAAGCACAAGTAAGGAAAAGAAAAAAGATTTTCTTATTCTTCACGTCCAGGATTACGTCCGGGATCATTAGATAGAAATCCGAAGATGAAAAGAGAAACAAAGAATATCACTATCGTGTAAACAAATAGTTTTAGAGTAAGCATTACAAAATCTCCAAGATAATTAAAAAAAAAAAAACGACAGAGAAAGAGAATAGATTCTCTTCTATTTCATATTATGTTTCCTTAAAAAAGTTCCAATTTGAGTTTTCTAATAAATTCTTACTTTTTTTAGGACATTATTCAAATGAAAGATCTTATCGAAAACTTACAGCAGCTTGCCAAACAAAAGCGAAGAGAAAAAAAGTAAGGGTATTACTGGCATAAAATCTACAATTGGAGTCAAAAAAGCATAAGCTTCAGGTAATTTCCCCAAGAAAAAACTACTTGAATAAAGGACAGAGTTAATACAGACCAAGCTAAAGATATGAAGCATAAAAAAAATGTTGTTCTTTAATAAAATGAATTGTATTTTTGCTTCTTTTTTTTTTTGAATTCTAATTTTTTTATTTTTTATTATCTTACTTATTATTATATATATTCTTATATATATAAGATATGATTTATTATATATATTATTTAATATCCACTTTTTTTTTATACTTTTATATTAAAAATGAAATCTAAAAGAAAAAAGAAATATGGTATAACTTGACAAAAGTAAATATCTATATAGAATAACAAATGGGGATAGAATAACAAATGGGGCGTTGCCAAGTGGTAAGGCAGCGGGTTTTGGTCCCGTTATTCGGAGGTTCGAATCCTCCCGTCCCAGATGACAGCGATTCAATTCATCACATTGACATGAATCGATATCATAGGTTTTTCGCCATAAACCAAAAATAAAAAAGGTTGTTCATTATATTTAATTTAAAAAGGAATAAAAATCTATGGAAAGACAAGGGTTCAATTCTATGCTGTTTACTAGAGGTTTAGAATATAGGTGTGGTTTAAGTAAATCAATAGATAGTTTTGGTATAGATAGTTTTGGTCCTATTGATGAAAATAACGGTGGAGACCCATCTAGTTGTTTAAGTAAATCAATAGATAGTTTTGGTATAGATAGTTTTGGTCCTATTGATGAAAATAACGGTGGAGACCCATCTAGTTTAACTGATATGCATAATAACATTCATAGCTGGAAGAACAATAGTGAAAATTGTAGTTATAGTCATGGTCATGCTGACTATTCAGCAGATGTGAACAACATACATAATCATAATTTGCTATTTGCAAAAAGTCTATCCGTTTGGGATAGTCATAATAATAGTTATGACATATATTATGCTTATAATGATGATAGTTGGACTTATAACATGAATTGTTGCATTTGGAATTATCTTCGTTCTCAAATCTGGGAGGATATTGACAAATCCAATGCCAGTTACCGTGATATGGACTTTAAGAGTTATATTTGCGATATGGGCCAAAATACTAGTGAAAGCCATAGTACAAATATAATAATATTAAGGAACACAAATGCTAGAAATCAGACAGCAGATCCAGATGATGCAGATATATCTGATGGATCAGATATATCAGATCCATTGGAGATAGATCTATCTGATCCATCCGATACAGATTATCGATACGATCCATTTGCTGATACATCAGATATATCAGATTCATTGGAGATAGATCTATCTGATCCATCAGATACAGATTATCCATATTATATAGATGGATCTGATATATCAGATCCATTGGAGATAGATCTATCTGATCTATCAGATACAGAGGAGGATCTATATGGTATATACGATCTAGATGAGATCTATTATCTGGATGGATCAACTAGATTAGATCCATTGGAGACATTGGAGACATCAGATCCAGATTATATAAATGATCTGGATGGATCAGATAGATCAGATCCATTGGAGACATTGGAGACATCAGATCTAGATGAGATCTATTATCCGGATGGATCAGCTAGATCAGATCCATTGGAGACATTGGAGACATCAGATCCAGATTATATAAATGATCCGGATGGATCAGATAGATCAGATCCATTGGAGACATTGGAGTCATCAGATCCAGATTATATAAATGATCCGGATGGATCAGATAGATCAGATCCATTGGAGACATTGGAGACATCAGATCTAGATGAGATCTATTATCCAGATGGATCAGATAGATCAGATCCATTGGAGACATTGGAGACATCAGATCCAGATTATATAAATGATCCGAATGGATAAGATAGATCAGATCCATTGGAGATATCTGATACATCAGATACAGATATATGTCAGAAGGATAGTGATGATAATAGCAAAATGGATATGCTGGCTAAAATGAACCAATATAGTCATTTATGGGTTCTATGCGAAACTTGCTCTAGCTTAAATTTTAAACAATTTTTAGTATCACTGGATCTTTTTAGTATTCCAGCTTCTCCCAATTCTTTCCATTCTAGCAACGAAGAATCCATAATAATTCTTAAATCCAGATCAACTAATTGTTGTCGTATAGCACCCGCTCCACTAGAAATTTCTCTATTTCGAAATGTATTGAAACCTTGAGTATCAAAAAAGAGTGGGATACTGTCTTTCCAGGATTGGATTTCATATTCGAATGAACCTCGTAATCGTAAGAAAGTTGGTTTTTTAACTACGGGCCTAGCAAAAGAAAAATTTGGATAGGATCCAATAAGATGGATCGCCCCTAGGGCTGGCAATGAACCAAACCAACTCGAAGATAGTTCGGAATTCGACTCGACAATTAAATCGTTGAACTAGGTTCATGAACCAAATGAGTTGAGTATGAGCAAAAAATTAAGTTCGTTAACTAAATGAGCTGAACTTGAACTATACATAGTTCGACTCGTTAGGTTCATGAGTCAACTCGATTACATATGAAAAGAATTATACTGTCTTTAAGATTAGGTTTAAATATTTACTTCAAATCTTAGACAAATTTAATCTTCAATTTAGTAGTTTTTGAGTTAGACTCTCAAATGTATCTCTTGAAAGTTGTGTAGGTTTTGAATTAGTAGATTTCGAAGATAAAGTTAAATATCAATATGATAACTTTTATTTTATTTTAATATTTTATTTAAAAAATATATATTTATTTAAAATGTCAAATATACTAAAAAATATATATATTTTAAAAAATAGTTTTTAAGTTCGTGAACCATGTGAGCTGAACCTAATGAGATGAACCTAACGAGTCGAATCGAGCTGTTCGTGAACTTATAACGAGTCGAGTTTGAGCTTAAAAAAAAGTTCGTGTCGAACTCGAACTCGAACTCGAATTCGAACAATTCTTAACGAGTCGAGCCGAGCTGAGGTGAGTTCGACTCGACTCGACTCATTTCCAGCCCTAATCGCCCCCTTTAAAATCGGACATGAGGGTTTCCTCTCATCCGGCTAAAGTATTTGCACACAATTAAAGATAAAGAAAGGGGTTTCTGCTTTCCAATTTTGGAAAACCTCTAATCTAAAATAAAAAAGGTTTACTCTTTACTCAAGTTATCAATAAAGACCAAGCAACATTTCATTGATACATTCTTCTTTTTTTTTCTGAATTTTTTATCCAATTCGAAATTAAGACAGAAATAAAATGTAAAATTCTTGAGTAGTCTACCTCCCTTCGAACGAGGAATCCTCTAAAATGAAATTCTTAATAAAAAAGGAATATCCTCGAATTCATAAGAGATTTCTTTGTCTATGTATCATACCGTTCGATCTTTTAGGTCAAGACGTCACCTCGACGGGTCTGCCACGATGTCTTAAAGCCTATATGCGATAGATAAACTTCTGCAATCATGATATATTTTATTCTTTGAACATAATTTGAGTTCTTTAAAAAAAAAGAGATGGAATAATGAATTCCACAAAAAAGTATTTTTTTTTCACTAGGTACATACAGTAAATAGTTATTTGTTACTGAATTGACCATAGACCAATTCCCTTTTTGATTGGGGAGTATTCAATACACCCATGAATTCTGAGCTTCATGTTACTCATCCCAAGAGACATGCCAGATATAGGAAATTCCCATTTAATTGAATGGAATGACAGTTTATCATTCGAAATCTGTACAATAAGAATTTTTATCAAATCACACATCGCGGTATACTAGATTCTCTAATTCTTTAAGAGGTTTATCTAAAAGGCTCGCGATATAACTAGGAAGACATTTCAAATTGGATATACCCCAATTTGAAATCTACGTATCCGAGAATCAACAAATTCTACTCCGCATTTTTCACAAAATTTTGGTTGGTCTTTTTTATCTCCGATTACTCGATAATTTCCACAAGCACAAATTCCACTTTTTATAGGCCCAAAAATTCTTTCACAAAATAATCCACCTTTTTCAGGCTTATTGGTTTTATAATGAAGAGTATAGGGTTTTGTTACCTCCCCAACTATTTCTCCATTGGGTAGGATTTTTTTTGCCCAAGCACTTATTTGTTCAGGAGAAACTGATCCAATTCGAAGGTGTTGATGTTTATACTGATCAATCATAAAATAAAAATTCCGATTCAGTCCAATTAAACTTCTTTCCTTTGAATCTGAAAGTCTTTCTCAGATACAAGGAAATGATTCAGTTCCAGATCCAAAGATCGTAGTTATTTACAGAAAGAATCAGTTCGTATATGGAACAAACACGGTATTTTTATTTACAGAATCTCCTCTTAATGGAAAACATGGAAAAAGATCGTAGTTATTTACAGAAAGAATCAGCTGGAGAAACAATTGGTCGTATTTTTATTGACCAATTAGAATTGCCTCCCCGGATCTATAATTGTCTTAAAAAGTCCAATATACATACAGTATTTGAATTTTTGAATAAGAGTCAAGAAGACCTTATGAAAATTGAACATTTTCGCGTAGAAGATTTAAAAATATATTAAACATTTTACAAATCGAAAATCATTTTGTATAAATTGAAAATCCATTGGATTTTTTTGAATCTTTCATCTTTTTTTTATTTATAAAAAGAAAGCTTCAAATATTAAATTTGAATCTTTAGCACAAATCAATATATTCAGAATAGGTATAAAATGAAATAGATGGATCTAGGGATTAGTCATTTCAAAGTGAATTTTCCCTAGATACACAATACACTTGTCATGATATTTTATTTGACAATAGAATCAATTTAAAAAAATCCCTAACGTTAGGGATTTTTCAATAGGTAATGTTGCTCCAATACCCAACCAAAGAGCCACGACGGTACCAATCAAAAAGACGGTTGTTGCTACTGGACGCCGAAATGGGTTTTGGAACTTATTAACATTTTCCAAAAAAGGTACTATTAATAATCCCGCGGGTACTGAAACCATTAAAAGAACGCCCAACAATTTATTGGGTACGGTACGAAGTATTTGAAATACGGGAAAAAAATACCATTCGGGCAATATTTCCAAAGGAGTTGCAAACGGATCTGCGGGTTCCCCAATCATTGATGGTTCGAGAACCGCTAAGTCTACGTTACAGGCAATAGTACCCAGAATAACTACTGGAAAAATATATAAAAGATCGTTTGGCCATGCGGGTTCGCCATAATAATTATGACCCATCCCTTTGGCCAATTTCGCTCTTAATACAGGATCCGTCAAATCAGGTTTTTTTGTTATTAGGATAAGTGAATTCTTATAGATCCATCCTCCGAAAGAACCGGACATGATAATTTTGCATCATCCGGCTCGAGCACGAATCAAACAAACTGAATGCAGACATAGAAATTCTTTATATGTTAGTCACTCATATATCATGATTCTATGTAATAATATGTAATAAAATGGATTTAATTGTTTTTTTTTTCGAAATTACAACTATCCATTGTAAATGCAAAAAATTCAGTTCTTATATTTAAGTAAATGCTTTTCACCCAAGTAAGTTTTCAAAATCCAAAGTTCTTTCTGGGTGATCTCAAACCTTTCGCCTGGTATACCTCAAAAAAAGAATTTTCGGAATTTTTGACATAGAAAGGATTTACTTGTTACTAATATAATACAACCCGCTTTTTCTTTAGATCTACTTGTTTAACTCCGATAGTATTATAAATTGAGTCAATGCATAGGAAATGAATGCATTTCCATACTATTAAGTTTAATGAAATACATATTACATAATTTAGATTATATCATTTTACTTAATTTACTGGATATTACGGAGCCTGTTCATGCACAGGATATGATCGAGTCTGATCATAGAAAATATTTTCTTCAAGCGAACCAGACTGACTATCCTCTGTAGAGGACTGGCGCCGTGGTTGGAACAAAGACACATTTAATTGTGAATTCAAATGTGGCAGATAAGATGAAGTCATATATCTGCATGGCCCAACCAATAGTTCAAGTCATACACTCCCATAATCCATTCTTTTTTCGGAGAGTTCCCTTCCACTATTCGTGTATGTCAAATAAAGAATCCAATTTATTTTGTTAAGTGGAAGGGAAATATCCAAATACATGTCTTATTAAAAAAAAATAATGCATATTTGTAGCAATGAAATACTATTACTCCTCCCCCAAATGATTTATTACAAATATCTATGATTCATATTCTCTATAAAGGACCGGAAATTCCTTGCTTACGTATCATTGGAAAGTGCATTAACATGAATACGGCAGTAAGTAGAGGTAATACAAAAGTATGTAAACTATAAAAACGAGTCAAGGTAGATTGTCCCACACTAGCGCTGCCGCGCAATAACTCTACCACCGAGGATCCTATTACAGGAATAGCATCGGGTACACCTGTTACAATTTTGACTGCCCAATAACCAATTTGGTCCCAAGGTAAAGAATAACCAGTTACACCAAAGGATGCAGTCAATACACCCAAAATTACACCTGTAACCCAAGTCAATTCACGAGGTTTTTTAAAACCACCAGTGAGATACACGCGAAATACGTGCAAGATCATCATTAATACCATCATACTTGCTGACCATCGATGAACTGATCGGATTAACCAACCAAAGTTAGCCTCAGTCATTATATATTGAACAGAAGCAAAAGCCTTCGTAACGGTTGGACGATAATAAAAAGTCATAGCAAAACCCGTCGCTACTTGGACTAAAAAACAAGTAAGTGTAATTCCTCCTAAACAATAAAATATATTTACATGAGGAGGGACATATTTACTAGTTATATCATCGGCAATGGCCTGAATCTCAAGACGTTCTTCGAACCAATCATAGACTTTATTGAGATAGGTAAACCAAGGGACCCCCTTTCGAATCGTATATGAAAATTTCATCTCGTACGGCTCAAACAAAAAGACTCAAATACTGGTTATTTGGAAAACAGATATGTGTAATAGAAAGTTTGAAACTTCTGAAGTTAATCCTATGATTCCAGTCTTTTTTGAAGATCCAAAAAATAGAAATCTACAAGATATTCTTAGTGTTTATAATGCCAAAATTTCAAGTCGGCTCACTCGTCTTTTCTCTTGATCCTTACAGGCCTCTTGAATATTCTATTATTTACTTCATTTTTTTTGTATTGTGTATGTAATAAGATTTGACTTCTGTTTTTTTTTTATTGATAAGAATTTTCTTGTTAAGACCCTATAGAATCAATGGAAAACCTGAGATTCATACTAGAACCACGATGATTTCCAAAAAAACCTTTAATCGAAGTCCAAGAATTCCCTGAGTAAGAACTGCTAGATCATCACTTATTCAATTTCAATAAATAGATATAATGAAAAAAAATACAAAGAAATGGATAAGCGGCGGCCGAATAAAATTCCATTTCTTTTTCTAAATGAATTCTTCTAACTCTTTCATTTTTTTTTCGTCCGGTTGCGAGGTCTAAATATAAATATTAAGTATGAATCATAGTTCTAACACTTTAGAATCTATTTATTTTCTATATTCCGTGCTCCAGATACTAGAATAAATATCTGACGGGGTAAAGCCATCTATCAAGATAAGATGACGTATCCATTTTATGTTCTGTACTATCAATAGGATCCATTATAACAAGTCACACACTCATATTCCGGAAATAGAGAAACAAAGAAGTTTCGCGGTCCAACTACCAAATCAAAATGGAATGGTCTAAAAATGAACGATCTAAATGCTAAACTTGACTTTTCTATTGAAAAGCTAGTTAGTTGGTTCTTGTGAATCGAATTCTCTAATTCATGGAAATTTGGTCCAGTAAAAGGGACGAATTATAAATCTCTAAAATAATAGAGAGAAATACCGCAAATAGGGCCATTGCAACCCCCATCCAAGGGGTAGTTCCCCACCCCGGAGCTACTTTACCATATTCTGAATTCAATGGTTTCAATAAATCTCCTACAACAGTTCGTCTTGGACCAGATCTAGAACTACCCTCAACGGTTTGTGTAGCCATAAATCCTATTTTTTTATTGAGATCTGTTGACTTTGTATACCATTCCGCTGTAGATAAAGGACCTTACCCTATAGATCCATTGTAGTCTTGATATTATAGAATCATGGAAACAGCAACCCTAATTGCCATCTCTATATCCAGTTTAATTGTAAGTTTTACTGGGTATGCCTTATATACTGCTTTTGGGCAACCCTCTCAACAACTAAGAGATCCATTCGAAGAACATGGGGACTAGTTGAAGTAATGAGCCCCCAATATTACGATATTGGAGGCTCATTACTTCATTCAATTGAGATAATTCTCAATCATTTCGTGTTTTTAGTGGGAACTTTAGGGGGTTCTCTAAAAAAAATAGCGAAAAAAATGATTCCTAAAGTCGAGACTAAGAGGAATGTATAAACCAATGCTTCCATAGATTTGATCGTGGTTTACAATTATAGCTTTCATACCTGTTTTGGGGGATTATCTCCTGGATAAAGAAAAAGAAAGAACAAGAGTAAAACAAAATGGAATGATTGAAATCAAGATTTATTTAGTTCCCTAATATCAAATTCACATAACAACAAAAAAAATCGAATCGAAAAGGAACAAACATATTTCTATCAGACTCCCTGTTTTTTTGTAGTTGGATCTCCAAGTTTTTGGAATGCTCCAAATTCTACTTGCGCATCCAAATCTGGATCAATACCAGCAAAAACATCTCTGAACAAGGTTCTAGCACCATGCCAAATGTGTCCGAAAAAGAAGAGCAGAGCAAACGAAGCATGTCCAAAAGTAAACCAACCCCTTGGACTGCTACGAAAAACACCATCCGATTTTAAAGTAGCACGATCTAATTCAAAAATTTCACCCAATTGAGCACGTCGAGCATATTTTTTCACAGTAGCAGGATCGCTATAACTGACTCCATTGAGTTCGCCACCATAGAATTCAACAATTACACCTACTTGTTCGACACTATACTTCGATTCTGCCCTTCAAAAAGGAACATCTGCTCTAACAATTCTGTCTCCGTCTACCAAAACAACCGGAAAAGTTTCAAAAAAGGTAGGCATACGACGTACAAAAAGTTCATGCCCCTCTTTGTCTCTAAAGATAGGATGCCCTAACCAACCAACCGCTATTCCATCTCCATTGTCCATTGAGCCCGCTCTAAACAAACCCCCTTTTGCCGGATTATTACCGATGTAATCATAAAAAGCTAATTTTTCAGGAATTTTAGACCAAGCTTCTGATAAACTTTGATTTTCGACTAGCCCACTACCAACTCTTCGATATATTTCTTGCTGGAAGTATCCCTGATCCCATTGATAACGAGTAGGACCAAATAATTCAATCGGGGTAGTTGCTGAACCATACCACATAGTTCCAGCAACAACAAAAGCTGCAAAAAATACAGCAGCGATACTACTGGAAAGGACGGTTTCAATATTTCCCATACGCAATCCTTTGTATAAACGTTGAGGTGGACGCACACTAAGATGGAAAAGACCCGCTAATATGCCCAATGTCCCTGCTGCAATATGATGAGAGGCTATTCCCCCCGGAACAAAAGGATCAAAACCGTCCACACCCCATGCGGGATTTACAAATTGTACCCTTCCTCTTAGTCCATAAGGATCGGATACCCATATTCCAGGACCAAACAATCCTGTTACATGAAAGGCGCCAAAACCAAAACACGCCACCCCTGCAAGAAATAAATGAATTCCAAATATTTTTGGCAAATCCAAAGAAGGTTTTCCAGTACGTTCATCACAAAAGATTTCTAGATCCCAATAGACCCAATGCCAAATAGCCGCCAAAAAGCACAAGCCCGAAAACACAATATGTGCCGCGACCACACCTTCGTAACTCCAAATACCCGAATTTGTTATAGTTCCTCCTGTAATATTCCAACCACCCCACGAATTGGTTATTCCTAAACGAGTCATGAAGGGTATAACGAACATACCCTGTCTCCACATTGGGTCAAGAACAGGGTCAGAGGGATCAAAAACTGCTAATTCATATAGAGCCATCGAACCGGCCCAACCAGCAACCAAAGCTATATGCATTATATGGACAGAAAGTAAACGGCTGGGATCATTTAATACAACGGTATGAACACGATACCAAGGCAAACCCATGAAAATACCCCTTATATTAACAAAAAATAGACACTATGTAACTTTATTGCACTGTAAAAAACTATGCTATCCTTGTTCGAACACAGCAACGAAATTTCACAATCAGTGACAAGATCAACTACTACCAAATAAAATTTCTTTTTTTCTGGTTGTTTCGATGTACTGAATCGAAAATTCCTCAAAGTTTAAGACTATAATATAAGATAGGGGTTCTTTACATTGATTCTTTCTTAGCTTCGGACTATAAATGGAGGATCAATGAAAATGTGGTGAATAGCATGAATTGATTTCTAATAATATAATTCATGAAGGAAATAATAATATTTCTAGAATTCAATTCGATAGGAAACATAGAAATATACTTTTTGGGGGTTGTCGAACTTTTTGTTAGAAATGCTGAAAGCTGGGGTTCATTTTGACCATGAGACTAGGAAATGGAATCCTCGAATGGCACCTTTTATATCGGCAAAACGTAAAGGTAATCATATTACAAATCTTACTAAAACTGCTCGTTTTTTATCAGAAGCTTGTGATTTGGCTTTTGATGCAGCAAGCAAAGGAAAACAATTTTTAATTGTTGGTACCAAAAGAAAAGTTGCCTATTCAGTAAGACGGGCTGCAATAAGAGCTCGATGTCATTATGTTAATAAAAAATGGCTCGGAGGTATGTTAACGAATTGGTATACTACAGAAACGAGACTTCGTAAGTTCAGGGACTTGAGAACGGAGCAAAAGACGGGGAAACTGAACTCTCTTCCAAAAAGAGATGCCGCTATGTTGAAGAGGCAATTATCTCATTTGGAAACATATCTAGGCGGTATAAAATATATGACAGGGTTACCTGATATTGTAATAATCCTTGATCAGGAATAAGAATATAAGGCTCTTCAAGAATGTATCACTTTGGGAATTCCAACGATTTGTGTAATCGATACAAATTGTGACCCCGATCTTGCGGATTTGCCGATTCCGGCTAATGATGATACTATGGCTTCCATCGGATTCATTCTTAACAAATTAGTTTTTGCAATTTGTGAGGGTCGTTCTAGCTAGATACAAAATTATTGATTAATAATAAGATAAATCCATTTTTAGATTTGGTTGGGCGGTGATAAATTTTTGGAATTGGTTATTATAGCATTACAAAATTGTGTAAAAAGAAATATTTTTGGATTAGTAGGTATTCCAAATGGAAAATCCAAGTAAAATAAGGAAATGGTTGAATCAAAATAATTCCCTTTCAAGTTATCTTTTTTTATTTTAGAGGGCAATATGAATGTTCTATTATGTTACATCAACACATTAAACAGATTCTATGATATATCTGCTGTGGAAGTAGGTCAACATTTCTATTGGCAAATAGGGGATTTTCAAGTGCATGCTCAAGTACTTATTACCTCTTGGGTTGTAATTGCTATCTTATTAATTTCAACCATTCTAGTTGTTAGAAATCCACAAACTATTCCCACGTCTGGTCAGAATTTCTTTGAATATGTCCTTGAATTCATTCGAGACGTGAGCAAAACTCAGATTGGAGAAGAATATGGTCCATGGGTTCCGTTTATTGGAACTCTGTTTCTATTTATTTTTGTTTCGAATTGGTCAGGGGCACTTTTGCCTTGGAAAATTATAAAGTTACCTCATGGAGAGTTAGCTGCACCCACAAATGATATAAATACTACTGTTGCATTAGCTTTACTTACGTCAGTAGCCTATTTCTATGCGGGTATTTCAAAAAAAGGATTGGCCTATTTTGGTAAATACATCCAACCAACGCCAATCCTTTTACCGATTAACATCTTAGAAGATTTCACAAAACCCTTATCGCTTAGTTTTCGACTTTTCGGAAATATATTAGCGGATGAATTAGTAGTGGTTGTTGTTGCGGTGGAATATGATATCAAATTATTAATTAATTTGAATTGCATATTTGGTTCACAACCGCTCTTTGATTTATCCGAAGGAAAAGGTCAAAAGAGGAAAACCTAATTTTGCATCGTAAAGACAATGCGGGGAGAGACCTAGGTAAGGGGTTGATTAAGCTTAGGGAAGGTATTAGCACCCTAAACTTCTGTAGTACTCTACAGGAACCTTTTGTTTATTGTATGCTTTTTTATTTATTTTATTTTCTGTTTTAATATATATTGAGCTAAGGGATAGAGTGACCTAAAGACCTAAGGGTTAGTCCTAAGTTTACTCGGCAAGACGTCGCATCTTGTGCCTACATATCCTGACGGGAATGGAATCAGAGTAATTGTAGTTCCCCTCGAAAGGGAGGTTAGAAACGTCTTGACTGTGGTCAAGGTTTCATTGGGGAGTAAGCGTTCATAGGGAAGCGCCTACGTGGAGTCTTGAAACTCCTATTTCTACGTTGAAATTGTTAATTGAAATTAGGGTTAAATTAAATATTCCACGGTGAGAAACCCTAAAACAGAGTACGACGACTCTTTGACCTAAAGTTAGGGTAAAAGGTATTTTCATTCACGGCGGGACACCTAGGCGATTAGGGTTTTGAAATGGTCAAACGTTAGGGTTATTGACTCGGCGGTCAAACGGCTAGACCTAATCCTTCGGAAGGAAATATAACGGTAAAACATGCAAACATGGCAAAATATTATATGGCAGAAATTAAAATGTGGAAAATAAAGAAAGCGTCGCGACGATCACTCGCGTAAATTACAAATCCCAAAAAAAAGAAAGATAAAATAAAACCGCGACCATGGCCTCGCGTAAATTACATCCATGGAACAAAATAAATTGAACAAATAATTTAAATATAACCTGAGGAGAGAAACAGAAAACATTAGTGCAAAAGGTTAGACAGAAATTCATGGCAAATAATAAAATAGTGAAAAAGAAAAATTAAGAATT